TGAAGAAGGGCCTAGGCCCGAAACATCAGTCTTCCTGCTCCTCTGATGCTGCTTGGCCTGCTGTGTTCATCCAGCTCTGCACCTTGTTATCTCATTATCTGAATGGTGGCAGTTTTGGAAAAGGTGAGGTGCAATGAGACCTGGGTGTCATGGTGGAACAGTTGCTGAAGGTTGACTTGCGGGCGCAGCAGGCAACGAGGAAAGCTAATGGCATGCTTGCCTTCGTAGCAAAAGGATTTGAGTACCGTAGTAAGGATGCCTTTGTGCAGTTATTCAGGGCCTTGGTGAGGTCAGATCTTGAGTATTGTGTGCAGTTTTGGTCTCCTAGTCTGAGAACAGACATTCTTGCTATTGAGGGACTCCAGCAAAGGTGCACCAGGCTGATTTCCAGGATGGCAGGACTGACATCAGAGGAAAGACTGGATCGAGTGTGCTTGTACTCGCAGAATTTAGAAGAATGAAGGGGGATCTCATAGAAATATATAAAATCCCGATGGCACTGGACAGGCTAGATGCAGGAAAAGGTCCTGATGTTGGGGAAGTCCAGAACATAATCTAAAAATAAAGGGTAAGCCATTCAGGACTGAGATGAGAAAGAATTTCTTCACTCAGAGTTGTGAACCTGTGGAATTCTCTCCCACAGGAAACTGTTGGCACCAGTTCATTAGATATTTTCAAGAGAGAGCTGGACGTGGCCCCTGCAGCTGGAGATCAAGGGTTATAAGGAGAAAGTGGGGGTGGGAAACTGAAGTTGCATGATCATGCATGATCATGTTGAATGGTAGTACAGGCTTGAATGGTCGAATGGCCTACTCCTGCACCTGTTTTTTATGTTTCTAATGTTCTGGGGTTCAGGTTCAAATCCCACCATGGCAGATTGTGGAATTTGAACTCAATAAAGAATCTGGAATGAATAGTCTAATGATGACCATGAAACCATTGCCAATTGTCTGAAAAAGCCCATCTGGTTTACTGATGTCCTTTAGGGATGGAAATCTGCCATCCTTACCTGGTCTGGTCTACACAGCAATATGATGCCCACATCCAATGAATTAATAAAAGAGAGGGGAAGGGTATAGCTTTCAGTAAGGAACCTCCCTGCTTGACGTCCATGAACTCAATCATGCAATGAATTCTTTTCAATGAAGCCAGTCCCTTCCCCCCTAGCTGATAAGCAGCCGCTGCTCTTTTTGTTTAAATCAAGTCCACCTGCAGCTGGATTAATCCCAGCAACAGTAGGAAGAGGCATTGAAGTGATTCTTCATTGGTCATTTAAGGGCCTCACTTGGTTGTGTGATGGAAAGGTTGACCATGAACCTTGCTGCCGAGAACATAATCCTGGTGCTAGTGTGATGGTTTGTGTATATGACTGCTCTGTCTAATTAATTGCCTTTCTCACCTCCAACATTGATCGAACAGACAGCTCAAGATTCTTCCCATTGCCTACAATTGAATGGGCATGTGCTACAATTGAAAGAGCTTCTGTTACTTTATTTTAATGGGATTAGGTCTATTGTGAGCATTTACCTGATCTACTTCTGTTGCAGATCTCCCATCTCTGGTGTTGCTTTTGCACCTTCCCACATCTGTCTCCAAGCTCACCTACTTTTTGACATTCTCAGGCCCAGATTCTATTCCTTGGAGGTTCTTTTCAGCTTCCAGCCCTGTGCTTTGACTTCCTGCGTGTATCACACCATTTATAATTTGGTCCACCATGCTCATTCAGCAGAATCCTAGGCTTGTTGCTAGCTACTATTTGACAGCACTAATCTGCCCATTGTCTCTCCAACCTCTTGGGGTTGGCAGCTAACTTGGTAAGTTACTGGACTAGTAATCGAGAGGCCCAGACTAAGGTTCTAGAGGCAGCATGTAAAATCCCACCGTGGCAGTTGCAGAGTTTAAATTCAGTTAATTAATTAAATCTGGAATTAAAAAGCTAGTATCAGTAATGAAAACCATGAAGCTACCCTACATAAAAACCTATCTGTTTTGCTAATGCCTTTTAGAGAAGGAAATCTGTTGCTCTTACCTGGTCTGGCATGTATATGACTTGATTCAGACTGTCAGCATAGTTGTTGACCCTTACCTGAGTTCTGAAATGGCCTAGAATGCTGTTCAGGTGTTAAAAAAGCACTGTTCACCACCATTTTCTCAAGGTCAATTAGGGATGGACAATAAATGAATATCCAAATTCTGAGACTAACTTTGTTCCAATATTCTGTGCTTTTCTAGGACTAGTCTTCCCCTTTTGTTAGTAAGGCAGTATTTCGGTAGGTCTAGAAGAACATTATTCCTAACACAGTAATAGTAACAATCAGGAGTAAATCGATGCCCACCATTTTCAGAGAGTTAACCATTCATTTTTGCTAATTGTGCTGACTTGAAAATTTGCCTCCAAGTGTCTTCAATTTATTTTTAAAAATTAAAATCTTCCTCCTTGAATCATTTTGTTTGATACTACACTCTGAATTGTTTTAACAACACCTCCACCCCAAATCTGTTCCCTTTGCATTTTGTTTGTGTGTTTCTTTCTGCCTTTGAACTATTTGTTTCAATTCTTGTATGGTGTTATAATACTTTTACTGCAACTCATTAGCAATATAGAGCTTTCAGAAATGAGGTGCAGGTTTATTTACAAAGGCAGCATACCAGAACCAGAGATGTTGCAGAAGGCAACATGTTGGCTGGAGATGGGAAGTATCAGACTGTGAGCCCCAACTAAGGTCAGGTAAGAATTGAAAATGCTTTTATTTTGCAAGGTGGTAAGGAAAATGCAATCACAGATACTAGAGTTTTCTTCAGGTTTTGATGTCATACTGTTTTAAAGGCTCTCCATCTTTTATAATTAAGCTTTCTTTACTTGTTTCCAACCCTGTAATTTTCAACGATCCCAATCCCTTTATACTTACTTGCATTGTTTTTAATACCACTTTCTCTTAGGTTTCACTACTTCCCATTTTGCAACAGACCCATTTTGCTATTTATTTTTATCCCCCAAAACAAAGCTGCATCTCAAATCTCGATTATCCATACTGTTAACTT